GAACATTGTTTTTATGCATGTCTCTACATGAATAGTTAAGCAGATATGGGAAATAAAACTAAACTTAATATTCCCAGGTTTTTTTTAATAATTATTATCCTAGGCTAAAATGATGTATAGATGATGTACAGATGATTATCATGATGATGTACAGATGATGACTATATGAAATTTGACTAAGTTCTTCAAGAATATTAGATCCTAGTTTATCTAATTTTTCAGCTTCAGAAATAATCCAAAAATAATCCTAATATTAATATCAAAGTGGAAGTAGAGAAATTTGTAAACAATGTGTATATTAATGGAAAGCACATGAAGTTCACTTAAAAGTAATATGGATGTATGTTTGTTTCTTCAAGGTACATTTGCTGGCAAAATGTATATTAATAGCAGATGCCTTTGAGAAAAATATAAGAAAATATACATTTGCATTTACATTATATATTTTTATAGAAGAACAAGTAAATGGTTAATAAATTGGCAGCCCATTTCTGGCTGCAACCTGGCTCACAACTGCAATGTTTGATTATTCCTTTGGAAATATCCCAAAACCTATAGCTGATAGAAAAGATGACAGCTAGATTCCTATCTATCATTCCACCAAGTGAAAACAATACTTATTCTAAAGTCTCTGCACTGGTTGCCACTAGATTTCTGGTGATGTAAACCATTAAAACCCTTTATTGTCCAGTATCAGGATGCATTAGGCAATACCTTCCCAAAATTGAAGAATGTGGGAAAATAATATGCTCACCACAATTGTCTAATAATTCTGCTTGCAAATTCATCCACTGCAATGGCAAATCAGCAGTTTACTGAGTGGGAATCTATCAATCTTTGCATACTGTGAATATTTTTTTTAATGTATATATACAAAATAAAGGATGGCTACTAACTGTGTAACTTGAGAAAATATGTTTGTACATATTTTCGGGTGCATATCTTTGGGTGCATTCTGTGAATATGTTTTTTCAATGTTTATATATAGCAATTAGAATAGAATTGGAAGGGACCTTGAAAGTCTTCTAGTCCAACCCTTGCTCAGGCAGGAGATCCTATACCATTTCAGATAAGTGACAGTCCAGTCTCTTCTTAAAAACCTTCAGTGATGAAGCACTTACAGTGTCTGAAGGCAAGCTATTCCACTAGTTAATTGTCTTCAATATTAGGAAGTTTCTCCTTAATTCCAGGTTGTTTCTCTTCTTAATTAATTTCTATACATTGTTTCCATCCATTATTTCAAAATAAAGAATGTCCATGTGTGCTTGAGAAAATATGTTTGTACACCATATCAGTTTGTTTATGAGGAGCTGTTTTGCTGGTGTAATTGCTAACTTGTTATAAAGCTATATTAATTAATGTGGCCTTTCTTATTTCTATATCCCTAACTCAGGTTTGCTACTCATGCATAATTTATCATAGCTTATTCCCTTAATGTAATTTATACAAAGGAATAAGATATATAAGGAAAAAAGAAAAAAAGGGAAAAAAATGGATTTCACATAATTGCTTATAAAGTTTTAAAGTGGGGTGGTAAAAAGTTCCCTCCGTACTTATGTAGTCTGCATTCACTGTCAACTGCTTAAATTGAGTTGCTTAAACTGCCTTTGCAAGAAAACATTTACAGCAAGCTGGCTTGACATTGAATGATGACAGGGAGAAGATTCAGTCGGAACCTATGGCCTAGTAAAACAATACTACTATTCACCAACCATATCTCAAAGATACTTTGGCTGGTATGCTGACACAGTTGGAAAGGATAAATAATAAGAATGGCACTCAGATGGGGTTATCTAAAATATTCCAGCATATCATTGCAATTTTCTCTCTTTCTGCCTTTTGCTTTCTCTTGCCTTTTTAATGTAACAAGACAAAGGTGCATAAATTGTGGTTGTATTTTTGCTCCAAGATGCTCAGCAAGCTGCCAATAGGAGCTTGCTAGAAGCTCTGACTATATTGTAGTCGTCTGCATATATAGTTGTATAGCATAGCATAGCATAGCATAGCATAGCATAGCATAGCATAGCATAGCATAGCATAGCATAGCATAGCATAGCATAGCATAGCATAGCATAGCATAGTATAGTACAGTGATGGCAAACCTTTTAGAGACTGACTGCCCAAACTGCAACCCAAAACCCTCTTATGTATCGTCGGGTGCCAGGTGGGCATGGCCCATTGGGTGGGTGTGGCCCATTGGGTGGGCATGGCTGCAGTGGTAACAGCAGACTGGTTGGGACTAAAAAGTTCAATCAATCAATTCCAACTTTGCGAGATCTTTTTTTTCCCGTGAGAAGTTGAAATTGATTGATCCTTTTTTTTTTTTTTTGCACATGGCGGCGGAGGCCTAAAGCAAAAATGTTTTATAAAACTCGGCTGAAGGCCTAGGACTGGGCGACAGCGCGCGTGCCCACAGAGAGGGCTCACCGTGCCACCTGTAGCATGCATGCCATAGGTTCGCCACTACAGGTATAGTATAATATAATATTGTATTTCCAAAGTGATTTGGCTTGTGAGCCAGATTTTGGTCACAACACAAGAAATATTGTGTTGTGAAATAAATAAAATAAATAAATAAAATCATATTGCTTTCTTTCTAAGAACTATTTCCTCAGGATAGTTGTTAAATAGTTATACATAACTAAATAGCATTATCTAAATACTGACTGAGCCTATATGCTGATGTGAGCATTATTTTCATGGTGGAAAATAGGCAATTAAATATGATTGGTTGGAATGTTCACATACATAAGCAATGCTGTTAGCCTTTTCAGAGTATGTCTTAATTTTACAAATCTTCTTAAGCCTATTTTCACTTCATAAAATTTTATGTGTTTTTCCCTAGTTTTCAGTTGCCAGAAGATATTTCAGCAGAATTACTAGAGATTACAAACTGATGTCATATCCTTTTCCCTCTATTGAGAGAGGGCTGTTCAGTTTTGACCTAGATGGTCTTTGTTATCCCTCTTTAAAAATACATATATTTGCACTACTCAGGTGACCCTGAATTCACAGACAAGCCTCCAGGTAGCATTAATGACTGAAAATACAGGCCAATAATTTACCTGCCAACAATTTACAGGGATTATTGCAAACCAAATTTATGGATATTTGGAAAACAAGGGTTTGCTATCTGTAGAAGAGAAAGAATACTTCAAAAATTCAAGAGGAACCAGAGACCAACTGATGACTGATAAACTGGTTTTGAAGAATTCAAAGAAAAGACGAACAAATCATGGCATGGATTGATTATAAGAAAGCATTTGATTCTGTTCCACACAGCTGGATTGGGAAATGCTTAGACATTTTTGGAATTAGCAGCAACATCCTGAAATTCCTGAAGATTTCCATGCATCTATGGCAAACTAAGTCGATGGCTTATGGAGAAGAACTTGGTGAAGTTGAAATCAAACAAGGAATCTTCCAAGGTGACTCATTGTCACCTCTGTTATTTGTACTTTCGATAGCACCACTAACAAGCATTTTGAATAAAACAAATTGTGGCTATGAATCGGCTAAAAAAGAGTTGAAAATATCCCATTTGCTCTATATGGATGATTTAAAATTATTTGAAAAAACAAAAGCTTAATTGAGCTCACTGCTGAAAAGCACTGAAGAGTTTAGCAGAGACATTTTATATGTAATTTGGCATTGAGAAATGTGCAACAATTGCTGTTAAGGCAGGAAAAAATGTTGATGGTGATGGATTCAAACTTGATAATGAAGAGTTGGTAAAACACAAGTTTTGAAAGAGCAACCTCAATGTCCTTATTTCTTATGCCATAGATTGCAATTATGAAATCATGGTTTGATAGAGCATTAAAAGGAGTCATCATGTAAGGAAAACAAGCATTAAGCAACTACATGCAAAAGTCAATGAGATGCCAGAACTGAAGAAGCATCTTGGATGAAAAGAGAAACATTTCCAAGGGGAAAAAAAAGATTGTCCAATTCTCTTTTGAAAAGCACCTTTGGGACAACCATGAGATTGAGAATCTCTATAGGCAAATCTGCAAGAAATTGTAGGCAAACAGAGAAGATCTTCTTTCTTTCTTAAACAGAAGCAATTCTCAGAACAGAGAAGGTCTCCACTAAAGCTAAATTAGGATGCAACAAAATGCTTTCAGCTGCAAAAAGTGAAGTTGGACATTAGCAAAACATAGAAAAGGCCAGAATTTTTATATTTAATCTTAGAACTGAACTGAAAGCAAATGCAATAGTGTTGTGCCATATCTATATCAATAAGGACAAATGCTTCAGAAATTATATCTTTATAGAAACACACATCTATATAAAATGTAATTAATCTACTGCAAGTTTGTTGCAAAAATATCTGTTCAATGAAACACTCCCCCCCCCCCCAGTATGCATGTCCTATTTGAAAATGAGTTTTCTTTTAATTACTTTTGGAATTCCAATTCATTTTCTCAAAGAAATGTATTTTCTAACATTCCACTTATCATCAATGAAGCATTTCACATAGGCATCCCAATTACATACATCCCCATTACATACATATGAGTTGTGATGGCACAATTGTTAGAATGCGGTACTGCAGGCTAATTCAGCTGACTGCCAGCTGCCTGTAGTTCGGCAGTTCGATTCTCACCGGCTCAAGGTTGACTCAGCTTTCTATCCTTCCAAGGTCAGTAAAATGAGGACCCAGATTGTTGGGGGCAATATGCTGACTCTGTAAAACCTCTTAGAGAGGGCTGTATAGCACTGTGAAGCAATGTATAAGATAAATGCTATTGCTATCTTCCATGCAATCTTGGAATTGACTAAAAATCAAATGTAGGTATATTATTAAATAAATTTTATTTATTTATTTATTTACTTTCTCTAAACATATGTTTTTCAGATATTTCCTTTAAAATAGATGTCAAAAAATGTGCAGTATAATTCAGTTACATTTTATCATCTTATAGTCATTTGTATTAAATCTTAAGAAATACATCTAAAATTGAAATAGCAGACAAAGGTTTTCAGTTTATAGTTTTTTAAAAAAGAAATGCTCTCAGGCTAAGAAATTTTGAAAGAGCAACTCTGATGTCCTTGTTTCTCATACTGTAGATTAATGGATTTAGTATGGAGGGGAAAACAGAATACATTATTGTAATTACAAAATCAAGATGTGAAGGATTGTCAGATATGGGCCTTAGATAAGCAAAGTAGGCAGTAAATAAAAATATGGAAAAGACAGTGAGGTGTGGAAGGCAAGTGGAGAAGGCCTTTTTCCTTCCTTGAACTGAAGGGATTTTTAGAACAGCAGAGAAGATCTTCACATAAGTAACAATAATGAAGATGAAACATCCAAAACCTAATATAGAACTGAACATTACAACTCCAATTTCATTTATGTATGAATCAGAGCAGGCAATCTTAAGTAAATATGGAATTTCACAATAGAACTGATTGATAATATTAGAGCAGAAAGGAGTAGTGAATGTTTCAGAGGTGTTTAGTACAGCATTGAGAAAACTGGCAATCCACACACTGCCAACCATTGTGATGCAGGCATTCCTATTCATTATCATTTCATATTGTAAAGGGTTGCAAATAGCAACATACCGATCATATGCCATGACTGTAAGGAAGGCTATATCAGAACCCAGGAAGAAAATAAATAAGAAGAGTTGAGCAATACAACCAGAATAAGAAATATACCTTATATTCATAACAAGATTAAAAACAGCTTTGGGGATAATGATTGAAACAGAACCAACATCTTGAATAGCTAAATTCATTACAAAGAAATACATTGGAGTGTGAAGATGGTAGTTAGCAATGATTGCACTGATAACAAGAACATTCCCTATTACTGTCATTCCATAAAGTATCAGGAATAAAGCCATATAGATAAATTGTTGCTCCCGAATGCTTGAGAATTCCAAGAGAAGAAATACTGATGTGTGATTACCCATTTTTTTAAAATTATGAACCTTCATATGCCTTGGAAAACAAGTAAATAAATTAGAACTGTTTTTCATTCAGTTCTCCTTGGAAAAGTTTGAAGAGTAACTTCAATCTTTCACTGAAGTAACATTATATCTTCAATTTATAAATTGATATAAAAATAACTTTAGATTTTCTTACTCCATAAAATTTGCCTGCTGTTTCTTTCTCATTCGCTCTTCTTAAATGAAATTTCAATCTCTAGTAGCAGTTTGCTTTTTTATTCTGTTTTGACTGGAACTACAAATGAAAGGGGAAGAAAGTATGCTATAAATATTGAATACAAAAAAGAAAAGAAGGGAACAGATTGTTTGATATAAAACAAGTAACTCACCGTTTTTATCCATGTGTATTTTTTTCAAGCTTTCCCCTTTTTTCTTTGTTTATCCATCAGTGAGATTTTCTTCTGTGAAGACATTAAATATTTTGCATCCACTATCTCTTGCCCTTCTCCCCAAAGATTTTTTTTTCAAAATGGTTTCCATTGGCAGTCTCAGAAGATTGCCATGGATTGAACTATTTTTAATACTCCCTGGGACCACATTATTTTAGCTGAAGAATTATACAGGAAAATCAACACCCTGATGTTGGGATTAGTAGATTTAAGATGGTAGAAAATGTATAAAAATATTATACAGTAAATTAGTCTGTTATATTTTAAGTACTCCATTATATTTTGTTCCAGTGTGAAATTAATGAGCCATATTATTCCGTCATATATTCCCCTATTTATTTGTGGAGAGATTCAATATTTTATTTTTATTTCATAAAAAGACAATGCTTATTTCTATAATTGTCTGTAGTAAATTAGACGTTACATATGGACCTTTTTAAAAGATTTTAGACAAGAGCCACTACACCAGGGCTGTAGCAGTTGCTGCTTAAGAATGCTTTTAAACATTTTAGAATTCTCCAAATAAAGGATTAGGACAGTGGTGGCAAACCTATGGCACGCGTGCCAGAGACGGCACTCAGAGCCCTCTCTGTGGGCATGCATGCCATTCCCCGGAGATGGCAACCGTCCCTCTTCAACCAGCTGCCCGCTAACTTGCCGAGGTTCCACGTGGCCGGATGCATCCCAGCACCCATGTGCTCACTGGCCTCTGTGTGCAGGGGCTCATGGTGTCAGGCAGCAGTCACCCCAGCCCCTGCCTCACCTTGCCCTGCAACAATGGCACCCCCACCCTGCCTCACCTTGCCTCACCTCACCCCAAAGGATGAGTCTCCTGCCCACCGCCCCACCTGCCAGAGACCCCCTGGATCTTCCCCAACCCTGCCCAGCCCCCACAGGCATCCCTCCCCACGAGCAACATTGAGGTGATCACGCCCACCTTGGCCACATCCACTCAGTCTGCCATGACCACCACAGCCACGCCTACCCAGTGGGCCATGCCCACCTTGCACCAGGTGATAAATAAGTGGGTTTTGGGTTGCAGTTTGGGCACTTGGTCTCTAAAAGGTTTGCCATCACTGGATTAGGAAATTCTCCAAAATGCTACTAGTTCATAATCCTATCATGTGAAATGTAGAAAGGAAATTCTGAAGACATGATTCAAAGAGACCTTTTTTAGTTGCTTATGAATTTTAAAAAAAGGAAAAATATTTAGAGAATCACATAAATATGTTTTGATCTGATTCAGACCATCCTTTGAATTGGTTGTTGAATTAACTAGATTCAAATGAAATAATATGAAATAATCTGAAATTTAGTTGAATGAAAACACAGTAAACACACTAAATTTTCTCTTTAATAAGATGAACCAAAGATGAGACTTCAGTAAATAAAGAATTTATTGTGATTTAGGATAGATAAGTGATCTCTGGATCACATCCAGCACACTTCCCTTCTTTATATAATTCTATTTAAAGAGCCAGGATCAGAAAAGTGGTAAGAAAAATGAGAGAAAGGTAAGAAGAATGAAATTGTCAAGTGAATCAAGAGCCTTTTCCTCAAGAAATTATCAATTACTGCCTCCAGTCCCAAGGCCAAGTTGTAGAATAAGAGGTCAATAGGCAAACACAACAATTTATTCAGTAATTATTATGGTAATTTAAGCCCAGTCATTGTGCTTTGGATTCTAATTGATTAGAAAGGTAGATGATAGATAGACAGACAGACAGACAGACAGACAGACAGACAGACAGACAGACAGACAGACAGACAGACAGATACAGTATGATTACAGTCCAGAGGCTAAATTATTTGTTCTATAATCTGATTTCTTGCTTATCCATTATATTTTCAGAAGTATTTTTCAACACCATATTTAACAAGCATCATTCCCACTGTTTTATCCTGTTTCTTCAAAGTCCAGATTTCACTTCCCTACAGCATCACAAGGAAAATCATTCCCTGCACAATTCTCATCTTTGTAGATATATATGCATATATGGTCTTTTAAAATGCTAAGTGGTCACTTCCCCAAAACTAGAATGTACTAATACACATATTGATGTATTATTGTGGTATATGATCTGCTCTTTTACAATGACAGAGAAGAGTCTTTATTGTCCTTGCATGTACTACTCTACAAACAATCTAAAAAGTAAATATTTAAGACCTATAGCTTTTAAACCGCATGAAGGAAAGACATTCCAAAAAGTGCAGATGGACAGGAGAAATATAGGATAAGACCATGTTGTGAATTACATCTGAACTAATGAAAATTGTTTTATTAATTCTCTATATGATTGTTAATAACTGATACTGGAAAAACAGTTTGAAAGTACTTCTCAGCAACTACACACAAACATAGTTAATTTCAAGTCTTTATTGTTATTTTTCAAACTCCAAAATATTTTCAGACCATATACAGACCATAATTTGAAAGTATTTTATCTAAACTAGTTTTGGATTTCCAATTAACCTTGAAAATATATACTGAAAAATATATATTAAAAAAATCCAGAGACCATATTACATTATTTTGAAGTACATATTCACCTAATATTTATATAGTTTACAAATCTTTTCTAATATCTCTTGTTCTAGTTTCATTTTAAAATTAGTGTCTTTAGGATTACCTCTGATGTTGAAGTGTCAGCCAAAGTTCAAAAAACTATTTTAAAGTCTGTTTCACCCTCTCATATATTTATCATTGTTGTTAATCTTGTCATCATCACTTTTCCAAGATAAGATAAGCTATTTAAGGTATGTATTGGATGTAAAGCTTACTTTTATCCCCCTGTCTCTTTTTTATTTTTTCCCATTAACACAGATAAAGAAGTACATCCAAGTTCACAAATGACCAAATGACCACAGCCTAAGAAGTTTTGAAAGAGTAGCTTTAATGTCCTTGTTTCTCATGCTGTAAATTAATGGATTCAGCATGGGTGGAAGTATGGAATAAATTAATGTAATTATGAAATCAAGGTTTGATGGTCTATTGGAAGTAGGTCTTAGATAAGCAAAGGAAACAGTAAACAAAAATATAGAGAAGACACTAAGGTGTGGTACACAAGTGGAGAAGGCCTTTTTCCTTCCTTGAACAGAAGGAATTCTCAAAACAGCAGAAAATATTTCTACATAAGTAACTATTATAAAAGCAAAACTACCAGCTGACAATACAGCACTAAATGCTACTACTCCAGTTTCAGTTACATATAAACTAGAGCAGGCAATCTTAAGCAAATGAGGAATTTCACAGTAAAATTGATTGACAATATTAGAGCAGAAAGGAATAGAAAACGTTTCAGTAGTGTGCAATGTAGCATTGAGGAAAGAGGCAATCCACACACTGCCGATCATTTTGGTGCAGGCCTTCCTATTCATTATCATTTCATATTGTAAAGGATTGCAAATGGCAACATACCTATCATATGCCATGACAGTGAGCAAGGCAATATCAGAGCCCAGGAAGAAGACGAACAAGAGAACTTGAGCAACACACCCTGAGTAAGAAATATGCCTTGTATTTGTAACAGAATTAAAAACAGCTTTGGGGATGATGACTGAAACAGAACCAATGTCTTGCATGGCTAAATTCATTAGGAAGAAGTACATAGGAGTATGAAGATGGTAGTCAAAAGCAATAGCAGAGATGATGACAAGGTTCCCTGTTACTGTCATCAAATATAATATTAGTAATAAAGTTATGTATATAATCTGTAGCTCCCAAATGTTTGAAAATTGCAAAAGAAAAAAAATGGATGTGTTGTTTTCCATTCTTGTTCATGAACCATGATATCTCTAGGGGGAAAAATAATGAAGTTAAATATTTTCTATTCAATTCAGTTAGAATGGATTTTATGAGCAGCTGAGCAGCTTTCAATAAAATTAAATCTCTATTTGCAAATGGACTAAAAACATTGTAAGCTACATTACCTGCTTACTCTTCAATTATGTTGCTTAACTTTTGTGTGGTCGAGAGCGCAAGGATATATTGTACCCTGAGCTTACCTCCCTTTAGTAATTTGTGAAAAAAAATCTTCATAAATAAAATAAAATGTTCTAGAGAGAATAGTTTTAGAAAATGAAATGATGGAGTAAGTGAAATTGGGAAATTCCTCCAGGCAGCTAGCAATCTAAAAGGTCAATGCCTTGAATGCTTGTGACTTCAGCCATACTCAGACTAATTACCTCTATTCTTATTTTGGGTTGCTGTCTTTGGTAGTTTTAGTAATCTCTCTCTCCCCCCCCCCCAGTCTTTTGTCTATGTTGGGTTTAGACATATCAGATGCATTTGGCAAACGCAGATGAAAGAAAGATTTTTATATCACTAACACACAAACCAAAGAAACCAACAAAAACTTTTATTTTAAAGTTGATTTATAGAATGGCTAAACTAGGGGAAGAGGCAGGAAAATATTTTTTCTTTCATAAAAAAAATATTTGCCTGCCTCTTCCACTAATATTATATAACTAGCTAATAGAGTTTTGCAACATTCACATCTAATAAAATATAAAACTTATTGTGGCTATAGGAGTTGCTATTTAAAGGAAGATATTTAGCATTTAACAATTCTATAAAGCAAGAAAAAAGAATAGAGCTGGAAGAGACCTTGGAGGTCTTCTAGTCCAACCCCCTACTCAAACAGCAGACCCTATATCATTTCAGACAAGTGACTGTCTAGTCTCTTCTTAAAAACATCCAGTGATGAAGCACCCACAACTTCTGAAAGCAAGCTATTCCACTGGTTAACTCTTTTCACTGTTAAGAAGTTTCGTCTTAATTCCAGGTTGCTTCTCTCCTTGATTAGTTTCCATCCATTGTTTCTTGTCCTGCTTACAGGTGCTTTGGTATATAGAAATATATATATATAGAATGCAAAGTTTAAAGACTTCCTTCATATCTGAATCTTATTAAGCTCTGAATGAAATTAAAGATAATTTTAGTACATATAGATAAGTTAGTACTTGACTTAAATCATTACTAAATTTTACTCCAATTGAAGAAATCAATATGTCCAAACTGGATCAAGCCAAATTGATCTGACGCTATGTTGAATTAAAACATGGTGAATCTTATAAATGATATATTGCAGCTTAATTTCATTTTAGAAAATTCAGTAAACAATATTCAACCAATACAATGAAATAAACGCAGGTGGAATTGTATTTACAAGAAAAAGATAATATAGTCTACACTGAATATTTTCAGGAAGGGAGAAATTACTCATAAATGAGATACAATTAAGTGAATGACTCACCATTTTTATTCAAAAAGATTTTTCCTCTATTGTCTTTGTGTAGCTGTCAGTAAGATTTTATGCTGTCAAACTATCGATGAGAATTTATCCAATTTCGCTTAACAGTTGTTCAAAATATATTAAATATTGGTCCCTCCTGGCAGAACAATATGTACACAGTAGAGCACAAGTTACTGTATTCTTTGGGACACATCCCAGGGGGGTCTATGTTACTCTAATTGAAGAATTCTGCAGAGAATAAAATCAGTGATATCCTAATTTGCAAAGCTGATAACTGGAGAGATGCATCAAAAAAGCTGAGCACTACTTCTTCCACTGCCAGTTTTTATATAATAGAAATCTAAAATTCTGCCGGGCATATTTATCCAATGATGCAATCTTTATCAACAAGTTTAGTTTGTGCAATTTGATAGATTTGGATGATCTTGGATGATTTCATAATAATTCATTGAGGACAATTCTTAAAACATTTTTTTTTCACATTACACTGCATAAATACAGATCCTTGGCTGAACAAATGTTTTCTTGGATCCTAATTTGATCATACACAACCATCCTTCTTTTCTGTATTAAATGCACATGCCAAGTTGTCTGAAGTAATATAAAGCTATGTCTATTCATTCAAACACACACACACACACACACAAACACACACACACACACACACACACACACACACAGAGAGAGAGAGAGAGAGAGAGAGATTTTAAATATTTTCAGTGTTAGTTTAGTATTTAGCCTAGTTTATTTTAGCAGCTCTAAGTCCATGTTAGTGTGAAAAAATTGTGCTTAGAACTTTGTTCATACTTCTTTTAATCTATACATCAAGTTATACACTTGCCTTTCAGACATCTTTGATTGGAGCACAAGATAAATTCTATGCTCACTTCACTTTCAAAACTAAAGGCACAACTATTAATTGTTTGTTTCTTTGTCTTTTTTTTTATTAAATACTTCAGAGTTGCATTTAAAGAACTGTAGAGGAGACTTTGCAAATAGCTAAAAATAAATTCTAAAAACAAATTTGTCTAAAAACAAATTCCAAATAATATTCCAGGTAACACCTGTGGGATTTTGGCTTATCTTAAAAAAGCTAAGCAGTTTTTAGTAATGGTACTACATGTTACCTCTGTTACATAATCAAATTTATTTTGTATATCTTATTATTTATGTTATTTATAGTATTAGTTGCTTATGTTTATACCAAGGCTGTAGAGGAGGAGGAGGTGGAGGGGGGAGGAGGAGGGGAATTTGGCAATGAATAATCACTTTTTATATTTTTAAAAAAGTTCCTTTTGTGCAACAGTGTATTTGGGTGATATGCATTTCCCATAATCATGTCATATAGAAAATTCTTAAAACATTTTCCCCTTTATTCTGAATAGATACAGACATTTGGCTAAACAAATATTTTCTGGCTCCTAAGTTGGGTCTCCACCAGCACACTTTCATAAATAGGTTTTTTTTTTTTAATTAAATGCACATGCCAGCTGTCAGAAGTGATATTAATTTATACCTACTCATTCAAACATACATATATATTTAGCATTTTAAGTACATTCAATGCTAAATTTCTGTCAGCAAACTGATAGAAATAGCGCTGTTTTTTGTCATAAATTAAATAAGAAATAGAATACATGAACATGGGAAGAATCTTGGTTTTTGAATTATTTTTAGATGTCTTTATGTTTTTTGTATGACATGATATTATAGTCATTTGCAATGTATTAGTTTTATATCCCATGTCAGGAGTATATTGTAGAGTTTATGAACCCTTGTTTCTGATTAAAGATGTCTCAAATATGTTATTCATTTCAATAGTCTTCATCTAATGAATACAGAAGAAATAATTTTCCATAATTTAAAAATAAGCTATTGAGGATCAAGTATTCAAGTCAGAAATGTATTAATTATTAATCCAGTCACATTACACCTTTAACAGTTTAACATACAAAATGAACATAAAGGAGCTAGGAAACAGATTAATAGTCATAGTAGCTCAATGCTAGTAACTCTTAAAATATTTTTTTTTGAAATTTGGGACAGCTTTAATTAAAACATTATTTTCTTCAAAACCATATAAAATATAATTAAGCAACACATTTCTGTATGTCTGTGTATGGATCACAATGTATTACTACATGTTAAAGTTTTAAGTACTTTTGGTCCCTTACAAACATGATGATTGAGAAGAACT